TYCSGGGGGGTACGTCTTTGCATAAAGTGAAAGTCCTGAGTTCGAATCCTGCTGCTGGARTTTCTCTTTTTTTCTTGTTGATTGTTCTTTTTGTTTTGTTTCTTGTTTTCTTTTCTTCTTTCTTTTTTTCTTTTTCTTTTCTTCTTTCTTCTTTGCTGTTGTTGTTTTTTTTCCTCTATAGATTTTCTCTTTTCAACTTGAACATATCTATTACTAGGACTCGCAAGGAACGCCTGCTTCAAGTGGATGGTTACGGTTCGGTCACTCAACACAATGACGTAGTGACTAGAGGTCCATAAGGCCTTTCGTCACAAAGTTTCATGGGCTGGGTGGTAAAGTCTATTACCATATGAAATCTTTATGTGGATGTTTTTTTTTTCAAAGTTAATCTACATTGTATGTAGACTCTAGATGTCTGTCATGGAAATCTGTCATTTTGATGGCACTTAAAGAGAAGATACATATTCAATCTCATAGTACTTACAATCTCATAGCTTAAATATAGCCAAAAATATAGCTTAAACATATCCAAAATTACAGACATATTTGCTGAATCGAGGGAATTCAAAGTTCGCTATTACCGCACTAGAAAACTCAAAACAGCTTCGTTCTGCTAGTGAATTGCGATCTTGTCGTCAAATACAAAATAACAGTCTTAAGCTTTCAAATCTTTGATATCGGTGAAATATCACCGAAATCTGGCTTCAATATTAGCAATGTTATCAGAACCCTGATTATTCTGATTTAGCACATTTAGCAGGCAATTCTTTCTTGAACGCGGCGGCCTGGCTACTAGTCTGACTGCCGCGTTTTGGCGCCAAATCGTTTCGTCTGCATATAAACAGAAAGAGTCGATTCTATGCCTRAATTAAAAGTAACTGATGGATGTTTTGTAGACGGAAAAAAAGAAGATTATCTTCAATAATCGTTTCATCATTTTAATAATTTCCTCTTTTGTTTTATCGAGTTTTTAAAAAGGGAAAATCGTTTTGTGAACATAAAAATGTGCAACGATATACAAGGATGGGTGTAAAAGCACCCTGAGAAATTAAARATAATCTAATTTAATTRTTGCTAGAGCTACTGGTGGGCATGCGGACCTGTGCGAATTTCTCAGAATGACCATGCTACACCCATGATAACACTAGCGTCAACTATGGTCAAGTGTAAGAAAATGCCGAATAAAACTTCTAGTATTTTATGTCGAGTATATTTGTATTGTACAAACAATTCTCCAAAATGTTGTAAAGACTGGTTTTCATAACCCGTGACACAAAGTGTGTAATAGCCGAAGTGCAGCTTTAGGTTTAATACCACGAAAAGACAATGAAAAACGTGCCAAAAATAAATTATAGGACGCTAAAGTGTATTTCACTTTATGAAAACCACTCTAGTTTTAGATTCTTCCTTTTCAAATCTTTTTATTAGCATGTTATATTTATTTTTTTCAGTCTTTGTCTCCCGTCTTCAGACAATTGGAAATGACATTTCATCTCTCTCGATCCGTTGCTGGGGTGGCGATCAACCAACAGGTAGGTCAAGCAACACTGGCAGGTTTCACACTYCTTGAATAAATTATGGTCTAAATTCACCTCTAAGGATTTGAACTMAACATTTTAATAAGATTGACTTAAAGATGGTACTACACTTATGGGGTAGCTAAAATGTAGGCTACAGATTTTGGTATCGTTTTTATAAAGAATGAGGAACCGAACACGGTTCTTTAAACGTCGAGCTGTTTTGGCGGTGTGTTTTGTTGGTCTTTACGTCTTTCTAGCATCGAAGTTTGGTGGCACTCGGGAAACACTGGTAGATCAAGGTAGGTTTCACTCGAGATTTAGTCGTGATTGTAATATTTTTTTAATTTTATCAACAAAGCATTTTACCTGAAAACATTTTGATCAAATTTAAAGATGATTTCATTGAAAGGCCTTTTATGGCATTTATTTTGTTTTTAGAATACTAAATATCGTTATAATAGTCATAAACAAATTTTGTCGTGATACTAAACGACCCTCTGAAGTACGATCATAACCCATCGCACGCACTGATATTATTGGACTCGTCTGCAAGTTCTATTTTCCTAATTTRGCAGACTCACAAATACAATCAAATGGTGCTGATATATAGAATAAAGATCCTTGATTTTCCACTTGAATTCACAAATGTGTTCAGCAGTTTACTAGCTTTAGATTATACCAAACAATATAGACTTCAAATTACGAGAAAAGAAGTATAAAGTCGCGCAGGGTTATTAGTGAAAAGCCTCATTTGTAATTTTAATTGTTTTATTACATGGCATTTGACAATGACTTCACATATACCCTTCATTAGCAATGTTTTCAGTKTCATTTGACCCAAGAACGAAAGGAAACTAACTTTTCGGACATCTCACCTGTGCAAAACTAGTTTTAAGGCTTATGTTGATAGTTGCGCAAAAGTTACGAAACGTATGTCGGTGCCGTGACAGTTTTAGTGTAACATGATTTCTAGATGGTGTATTTTTTTGTGTTGTTTACTAGAACAGGCGAAGTTCCGTGACCCGCTTCGCTCGTGAGGTGATCTTGTCATTCACCTTTTGAAATATTTGATCTTTTGATACCAGGGTTATTCAGTAAGCAGGTATCTTGATATATGGTGGTGACTCGTTTCGTGACATTTGATCTTTAGAGCTAACTAAGTTATTTCGTGTTTTTTTTTTACTGCGCTTTTTTATGTTTATTAGTTTATTAATTTTAATTTATATTTAAAGCACGTTTTTCATGTCTTTTTTGTCAGATTTCGTTTCTTTTAACGATGAAATAATTGAAATTCAAACACAGGTCTCTCCATCTTTAATCGTTTAAGGATCACGCGCCAATATTTTCATATGTAAATATGGTAATTGCCAGTGTAAGTGGATATGGCTGCTACCTTGACATAAAAATAGTGCCAATTCAAATGTTTGTAAAGCTACTGATATCACCTATGGTAATTGTGTGTAAAACTTGTTTGCTACTAGCTGTAACGTGGCATTAAGATCACTGCACCCCAAAGGAAAATGAAGGGGGGAGATCTGAATTAGGGTGTGGCATCGAAGGGGCTCCGGTAGCTTTATTGACACTCCCCAAGACTCGTTTCTCCATTTATCYTAAATCCGCGCTTTTGATAAAACAGCTTTCTTATCCATTTTTCAACAGARCATCAAAACCAAAATGAAGAAACAACATCAACATCTCGTCGTCTTTTGGCTCACAGGACGCGCAAACTCAACTGCACTCCCCCGGCCATTCTCGAATTTCCTGATGACTTTTTCACCCAGAAACAAAGGCAACACGGGGGAGTTATCCTGAACTTTCTCGTTTCATTTTACATGTTTTGGGCCATTGCGATTGTTTGYGATGATTATTTTGTGCCTTCTTTGGAAATCATATGTGATCGTTTAGGTTTGCAAACTGATGTTGCTGGAGCAACCTTTATGGCTTTGGGAAGCTCTGCGCCTGAATTATTTGCATCGGTTATTGGTGAGCTAATAAACAAATTATTTCTTATCTAAGAACTATATTTAACAAATAAATAACCCTAAAGGAATTGACTGCCTGTAAACTGTTTAAATGTTCAATACAATATATCATATTTAGGTGTGTTCATAACGAAGGGAGATATCGGCGTCGGCACTATCCTTGGGTCAGCTGTATTTAACGTCTTGTTTGTGATTGGTGTATGCGGTATTGCTGCTGGGACGGTAAGTGTTCTTCTTGTTTTGATAAAAGCAATATTACCCAGCTGTAGCTCAGCTTCACAAGAACCGAGTGTTAAGTATTGTTGTCTTTCATATTTCAGGTTCTTTACTTAGCATGGTGGCCGATTGTTCGTGATAGTTTCTTTTACTTGCTTAGTTTAGTGGCTCTCATGTTGGTTCTTATGGATAACGTAGTTGTATGGTATGTACATATGGCGGGTTTAATTTAACTGTATAAAAGTTATATCTAACATATATTAACTTTTACTTATCATTTAACAGGTCCGAGGCAACTGCTATGGTGTCTTTCTACTCAGTATATCTTCTAATAATGTACTTTAATCCAAAAATCGAAGCGTACTTGTATAAAATCACCAAGACTACTACCCCTGAGTACAAATCTGATCTCCAYGAACAAAAGTTAAAAAACGAAAGCAAATCGGATGGCTCGTATGAACCCTTAAACGAGAAACAAGATGAACAGAAAGTGGACTCGGATCATGAAAATACTGAAGAAAAAAAGGATCCTCTTTTGGGTAGGAATCGAACCATTTCTTTTGCATAACCCATTCAGGTCTTCAGTGTTTCTAACAGATACAACGAATGCACTCTTATACCCAATCTAATTTTCTAATTTCACTTTAAAGAGTCAGTATTGGTTAACACTTTATCAAATATTTATGTTTTTGTTTACAGACAGCGGAGAACATCTCGCTCATCATCATGAATACGAAAAAAACGTTCCCCACGAGGTTCCTGACCTCACCTTAGGCTCGCCTTTCTCCCCTCCAGAAGGGGCGTGGCCGCGCATGTGCTGGTTYCTTGGTCTACCTATAAACATAGCCTACTATTTTACAATTCCTAACGTTACAAGGAAAGAGTGTGAGAAATGGGCGGTGGTGTCGTTTATATCGTGTATTGGGTGGATTGGTTTAACGTCGTACATGTTAGTATGGATGGTGACTGTWATTGGATACACTTTTCTTATTCCTGATTCGGTGATGGGTTTATCTCTTGTCGCTTTTGGGAGTAGTGTTCCTGATTGTTTATCGAGTTTATTTGTAGCACGTAAAGGTAAGGATTACTGTAAAACCGGATTGTTCTACGGGGCTGCTTCTAAACAAACGATACATTAACAACATGTTACATCAAACTATATTCCTTGACGGCAAAGCAACATCATCTGGGAGGCAAAGCAAGTAAATGTTTAGTCTGATGGGAACTAGAACCCCTTGCTTAGCCCCCCAGGTCTATATATAAACTGTACTTCGTTCTTTAACAGGTGATGGCGATATGGCAGTGTCACATACAGTTGGCAGCAATGTGTTTGATATTCTACTTTGCCTTGGGATACCATGGCTTATTAAGACGACTGTTTGGGAGTACGACTCATCGGTTGTCATTAACAGTCACGGGTTGTTTATATCTTGTTTCTTTATTCTCGGTTCCATCGCCGTGACATTAATTATTATTTATCATTACAATTGGACACTAAACAAGAAAGTTGGTTGGATCTACATGTTCTTTTATTTTGTGTTTATGATTATTTCTGTTGTCGTTGAGATGAACGCTTTTGGGAACTTCAATCCGCCGATGTGTATTGTGGACGTTTAGGCATTTGTACATATAATCAGCTGTCAATCATTCCTGGTACGCGTGGTCTGGCCCCTTTAAGTGGTGCATAATATGTAAATGAGCTGTCAATCAATCATGGCGTCGTAATCTGACCCTGAAAGGAGCGAATTATTTTGAGACCAACGCAAGCTATCATCTCGAAGCCTTTGTTTACGGGAGTGAGGGTTAGAGCTCAGTGTGGTGTTAATCTTGTCTATAATAGAAGATCACTGCTGGAGAAAACTGTGAAACTATTGTAATAATGGTTGGATGATCCAATTTTTATAATTGATTAGTTATTGCTTATGGCTTATCACATTGCATATTTAGCTGTTTTAAATTGAAAAGGTGCTGAATAAAGGATGTTGTTGTTTAACGATAGATCATCACTTTCATTCCGGTTCAGGTTGAGGTCAGTAAACCATTTGGTGGACCCCGTCGAAATCATGATCCCATAATCTGTCCAGATTGTTTACTGTCAGTGCTGTTAATTCTAGATTCAGTATCTGAAACTCCCTTTTTAACACGGCCTAAAATATTCCAAAAGCAGATGAATCCCAGCACAGCTTCATTTTAACTCGGACCCCTAAGTGTGACAAGAAAACAAAGGTGCTCGAAATAGAACGTTATAATATGAATCGACATCTTTTTTTAGATTGCTAATCAAGTTATAAAGGTCTTTTCTTACTTAGATACTATTTTGGGGATTTTTCTTGTACATTTTAAAACTCCCGCTCAATTTGTGAAGATCTTAATTGAGCGGGAGCCGAGCGTAAGCTAAGTGTGACAAGAAAACAAAGGTGCTCGAAATAGAACGTTATAATATGAATCGACCCCTTTTTTTGGATTGCTAATAAGAGGGTCTCAATGGGTTACCCGTGAGCCGTGAAACGGCTGAAAAATTAGCCGTGAATCGTGAAAATGAGAAGAAAAATTAGCCGTGAGTCGTGAAAAAGTCAAATTTTTAGCCGTGAGTCGTGATACGGATTCCCCATTGAGACCCTCCTGAAACAACTGCTAAATTCTGATTTTTCAATGCATTGCGCAAACTACTCAATAGTTCAAAGCGCGCGAAAAAGTATAAATAGTTATAACCATAGTGCTTTGCAGTCGAGTAGGTAATATTGTCACGCAATCAGTAGTTTGATGTGGGGAAACTACACCATGCGATTCAAAGCAATGTTTCTTTAAATGTAATCACTAGTATATCTAATGGCAACATAAATTGTTCATAAATAATTGAATAACGAAGAATTCCTCATTATGTCGACGTCCTTTCGAGAGAATCTGTTTCATGCATTCATAGTTCTGGTRATCGTGTCGTTGGTTGTCAGTGTTTGGATCGTTTTCGTTGATGACTTCTCGTTCCACCGCATTAGCCTATATCAAAGGTAAGTAAACTTAGCTTTATACCCTCATACATACATAGCTGTACATGTACCTTTATATCATTGTAAATACAATTTATAATGCTSTACGAACCAACGCTGCCCTCATACAGGAAAGCYACACTCACGACTAACGAAACATAACCTTAWAAGGTCCCGYACYGGTCCAAAATCTTCCGTTAACGATTTTACGATTCATTAGAATTCTAAGAATTATTACGGAGTAATAAASTAGAGTGCTTTTATTCAGTATAGTCGCTCGATATTGTTTTTCTAACATAACAAGGCGGCCGAGAATTAAATATTAAATAGTGTGTTTTTGCTCCCATTTCTTATTATTCAGTTCTCTCTTGATTTAAGATAACATTTGTACATAAGTTTGTATATATAGCATATTGAGAAATGTAAGGAGAAACATGTTTTATCAAACGTATCCAAACCGCAATAGTTTCTACAATATGGCAGATGTGATGATAGCGTTACACCTGTGTAACCCAATACTTGGAAGCAGTGTTTGTTACTTATTAATACTCCTTGCTTTACTAATATACAACTGTAGAATAAATTGGGCAGACTTATTCCGCCTACAAAAACACAATATAGAGGATACTATCATTTAAAGTAAAAAAAATTAAAAAGAAAATGATTGGTGGCTGAGAGAAAGAGAAGAAGAAAGAAATAAGGAAGGGAATTATTAAAGGAAAATCAAAAACAAGGGAAATGAAGAAAGAATAGTTTTGCTAAAGTYCTCTTTGATATACCGTACGACGGTCGGCAGATCGGGAAATCGTAGTGCGCGATTTTTTGGGATATCGAAGCATAAAAGTAACATCAAATATGTAGATCCTGAAATACGACTTTTTTGTAGGGTTGACGAAGACGATCAAGTAATGATGCTTAAAGACAATATCACATTGAACGACGAACAGACGACACAAAACACAAAGCCTGCGAGATGTAAATGTAAAAAGAGAATCATGTTTCTTAAAACGCATAAAACTGGAAGCAGTACCATTACCAACATATTAAATCGATTTGGTAACAAATACAATCTCTCGTTTGCTCTACCTACCAACAGAATCTCGTTTGCCTGGCCCAATCGGTTTAAAACAATAACCATGATGCCCTTATATGGAAGACCTCATATATTATGTAATCATGCAAGATATAACAAACCAGCCCTGCATCATCTGTTCCCAAAAGACCGCAGTACCTACATTACTATCCTTCGYGATCCAATTCAACAGTATGAGTCTATATACATTTATATGAAACTATGGGAAGGTTTGAAAATAAACGGAGATGGTGACCACGTTCTTATTTTAGACAAGTATCTACAGAATGTGACCACAGTTCAATCGGCGAGGCTGGACGGAAARTTAGGTTCGCGATTATTGCGCAATCCAATGCTTTTTGATCTGGGGTTAGACTTTCGTTATTATCAAGACATTAAAGCAGTTTGGAAATATATCAAGTTTCTGGAAAAGGAGTATGACTTGATCTTGATAATGGAGTACTTTGATGAGTCTGTGGTTCTTTTGAAAAGAATGCTTTGCTGGGAGCTCGATGATATTGTTTATTTGAAATTAAATGAACGTCTAGATGGTGATAAACGGAATTTCTCAGAAAGAATTGAGAAAAACATTAAAAGTTGGAATAAAGCAGATTTTATGCTATATGATTATTTTAATARGACWCTATGGACGAAAATTGCCAAAGAAGGCCYTGATTTYTACGAGGACTTGGCACAATTCCGTAAACGCCAAAAAGAGGTATTTGAYACYTGTGTTGATTCGACTTCGCTAGCTAAAGCTTACACGGGCAAGTACGTTAAAGGMTATAGACTGAGATCAGACCTCTCAAAGAATACAAGAACGTTTTGTGGAAACATCATTAAGGGGGAGTTGACTTTYATGGAAGAAAATATTGCAATACAGAAAAAAAGACAAGAACTTGTAGACCAYCCGGGAGAATTTGAAGATATTTTTGATAAAGAAAACGACTGGGAGAAGGCCAAAGATCTTGTACATGATCCGATTCGCTTGCCTTCGAATGATACTGAAGACGCAACAGACTCCCCAATCGAATGATTGCGATCATGTCTTCTTCTCTGCGAATGTTCAGATATAGTGACACCATGCATCCACAAWTATACAATTTCGATACAATTCATTGCTGGAATACCAAGAAAAGAATTTACAGTCCTCTTTCATTATGACGTCACATTGAAACCCTAAGCGGCATTTGATGGACACGACTGAAAGGTAGAATACCAACAAACAAAATACGACAAATAGGAGACGAATAAATATTTATACACAATATTTATATGTAGACTTGGTCTTTCGAAGGAGATTTACTCCAGATTTCCATCGTATCTCTCGAAATGGCTGCCCTACAGTTAAACCGCACGTTGTTACGTCATATTGAAAGGAATGCRATTTGAATGAAGCCTAAGAATTCAGTTTTTATTGTCTTTTATAATATTTATTTTAATAATGTGCTATTATGACATGATATACAGCATCATTAAGGCTCAATTTTTGATATTATTTTGTGATCCGCTTAATTATGCAAAACATATCGGATGGATAATGGGTCGTCGAATCAGTTATGCGTCAGTTCTCATTGATTGGTTGTGTTTTCATTGTCAACGTTGAATTAAAAACG